TGTTCGATTTCTCGCCAAAATCCTCTGCGAGGATAACCGGAGTTTGTGTGATGATGGTGTATCAGTGAGATGTCGCAGTTCATTTGTGGCAAGAATTTTGTGTGTGATGAGTGTGACCTTATAACGTGTTCAGACACTCTCTGCACAGAGAAGCCAACAACAACCTCGCTGATGTAACTGCCCCCACTGCAAGCACTTGGCAATCCATTGCAAGCATTTGTTTGAGCGCGAGAACTCTGGACCGGTTTCAACTTTATGGGCCTTGTCAGCGGAGTCGGGCTCACCGAACGAACGCTTGGAACAATGGGCACGTTCAAATCCCCGCCACTCCTGCCCATGCCAGCCAATGGTAAATAATAAACGTGTGCATCTACAAACCTCGAATACTTGAGCCGCAGCGGAGCGTTACGGTGTCACGCAGGGTAACGAGAGTCGCTTGTTTTGTTAGTTACCCCGGAGGAACCGGAGTGACTTTGTGAAGCGGCGGTGGCTTGGTCATCCACTGAGGGGTGTCGAGAAATCCCCTTCTCTGCTTTCCGGAGACCCTTCCGAAATATGAAGAACATTTGGATGTTTTGGCCTCTCATGAATATTTTAGCAGCGAGCAGAGCTAAATCAATACAATTACGGACCGCGTGCGTGTGCTCGCGTGTGCGCGCGCGCGTGTGTGCGCGTGTTTATCCTTGGGGAGGAGCGGTGGAGCAGTGGTTAGTGCGTTGCGCAATGGACCTGGCGACCCGAGGTCGATTATCACTCAAGGCCAACACTGGCGATGCTTATGTGAACCGGTCCTGCGCCTCCCCTAGGTCGACTCGGCCTCAAATTGGTACCCGGTGCGGTGTGCAGTAAACATCGCCACGGGGGAGACCAAGTCGCCGCGCTGACCTTAACAGGTGCTGCTCGCTAACCAGCACTTGCCCCAACAGTCTGTGAAGGCTACACAGGAGGATCTGTGTCTTGTTTTTAGTGGTAGGGGGTCAGGGCGACGCTCGCTCTGCCTGCCGAGGTGACGTCACGAGTGCACTCTCAAAGACTCTGGCAGTGCTCTCCCGTCCGCCACCGCAGCAGCGGTGGCAGCAGCAGCAGCAGCACGCGGCGATTCGGTGCCCACCTCTAGCGATGATTTGCCGCGATAGGTGGGGTCACGATCGTGTCCGTGCTTTGATCATCTTTTTTTTGCGTCTATGAAGAAGGACCGTTGCCCGAAACGTCACCTATTATGCCTGTTTCGTGTTCAGGCAACGCGCACCGTTATTGACGAACGTGTTGAGTGTTCTGAATTGTTTGTTTGTATCCTTACCGTCTCTCTGGTTCGTTCTGTCTGCCCAGTTTGTACCGTCTGTCTGGCTCACTCTGTTCATCCAGTGTGCTCCGTGTATTTGTTCTTCGAGCAGTCTCAGTATTTTTATGCAGCGCCTTTCGCGAAAAGATGACCGGCCCTGGCTCCCTCCACCGCCTCAGTCGCTTCACAAGCTGTACTGACGAGCATGGGGAAGTATGGTCAACCGCCCCCCCCCCACCTTGCCAACCACAGCCCACGTGGGGAAGCATATTTTCGTTAAAATCTCTTAAAAATATTTAATTCCTCACAATATCTATTTAAACATCGTGACAACGTCAGCCATGAACGCTCTAAGTGAACATACAGTAAAACCTTGGATTGCGAGTAACTTCGTCTGCGAGTGTTTTGCAAGACGAGCAAAAATTTTAAATAAATATTAATTTGCTAAACGAGCCAGGGACTTGCAATACGAGTAGTGTACGTATACACTTTGTCTGCCGAGCGTCACGTGATCACAACTGATATACGAGTGCTTTGATATACGAGTGCTTTGGATTACAAACACGTTTCCAGAACGAATTATGCTCGCAATCCAAGGTTTTCCTGTATTTGGATGCTCTAAATGTGTGTATATTTTTTTTGCCATTGCCATCGGTGCTGCCTACAAAACCATTTTGTGGAGTAATTGGGCAGCGTGGTGACAATGATGTCATCATCATCGGTTTTTGGCGTCAATTCAATCCTTTGACGACGGTGGGAGGCCTTCAACCAGCAGTGGATTGGCCCGACAAACGGCTGTAAATTCACTTTTCATTCCACCGAGACAGGAATTCTTGAGTAAGTCTGAAGGTTTGTTATCGTGCACTCTGATGACTGAAAGTCCATCACGAGTTATCTTTCCAGTTTACATATTTCTTTTACGTTTCAAGTATATTCCATTTAATTCGAATTAAAAATTCTTGTTAAATCGATGCGCGAGATGGAAATGTGCATCCTGACCCAAAAGAGCGTCCCAGAAGAGAGCGCACGTCCTTGGTACTGTTGTGGAGGGCGTGCGGTGTGCCGGAGTACACCGTGCCCTGTACACCGTGCGGTGTACTACGGTGTACACCGTGCGATGCACTACGGTGTACTACGGTGTACAACAATGTCAATCCTTTGACGATGGTGTGTGGGAGGCCTTCACCGTACTACACGTTGTGTATACTGTACTACGTGTTGTACTCCGGTATACACCGGCTCGTCATAGCCACCTTAGTATCCGTGCATCTCTCTGTTGTGTTTATGCCGCTGCGCTACGAACCCGGCGACCCGAGTTCGATTCCCGCTCAACGGCCAACACCGGTGACGATTATCTGAATCGGTCCTGGGATTTTCTAGGTCGACTCAGCCTCAAATTAGTACCTGGTGCAATGTGTAAACATCGCCACTGTGGGAAAAAAGGCACCCGGGCGTGGTGATCACCCACCCTCTCGCGTGCCGTGCCGGCCTTCAGAGGTGCTACTCGCTCACAGGACTTGCCCTAACAGTCTGTCAAGGCTATGCGGGGAATCTTTGTCTGCCTTTGTGTGTGCTTTCCTGTTTGTGTGTTGTGTTTGGCTTATTTGTTGCGTGCGTGTTGTGCGGGTGTGCCTTAATGTACGAAGTGTTTGTGCATGTACCGTTGTGTGTGTTCACCACTGTGTGTGTGTGCCTGAGTGTGTGTGCATCTGTCAGTCATCTCAGGCAGGTCACCCATAACACCTGGGTCTGTGCCGTGGCCTGTCCGTAAGCTTTAGACATTTCACATGGCCTTAAAGTGCACCTATCCTGGCACAAGTACCGTCTTGATGTCATCGCCAGTTAGTGGCGAATGGCGGCTGTTGTTACCGTGTATACTTTTCCATTGTTTGTGCGTATGTCTGGGGAGCGGTAGTGGAGTGGTTTGCACATTGTATTCCTAACCCAGTGACCTGAGTTTGATTCCCGCTCACGACCACAAACAGTGGCGAATATCTGAACCGGTCCTGGGCCACCCCTAGGTCGACTCAGTCTTATATGACTACTGTACCTGGTGCAGCGTGCAAACATCAGTATTGGGGATACAAAGGCGGCCGGGCTTGGTGTTGGCCACCCACCCACCCTCTCGTGTGCTGTGCCAGCCTTTACAGGTGCTCGCCAACAGCAATTGCCCCAACAACCTATGTAGGCTACACGGTGGATCTTTTCCATTGTATATGCAATTGCATTCATCATGACAAGTGTAGTGGCATAGAAGAAGAGTAACGTAGCAGCATAGCGCTGGCTGCTGGCGGGGAAGGGAATCTGCGGCTTGCGGCAGTCCTGACGTCAGCAGGCCACGTGACACACCAGAGGGGGATCTAGGGGGGAAAGGTGACAGAAGGGGCACACCGAGAACCCGCTGGTAGGTTCTAGAAAGGGGGCGTGAGAGTTTAATAGGGGCCCCTGCAGGAGACCTCGAGGCTGTTGTGTGGAGTGGGATCCCCGTCGTGCTGCTGAAGTCTTCGTCACCGTCCTTCTTGTCATCGTCTCCGTCTTCACCATCTCGGGGCGTCACCAATCAGGCAGCCTACCAACTCTCCCGGCTGAGTAACGTCGCCGACAGTGACGGACTAATTGTAAAGTGTGCACCCCGATGGTGCTCGTTAATAAAGAAGTGTCTCCGAGTTAGTTACTACACAACTACTCCAATTCCATTCACAGCAAATATAATCCGGCTCCATTACTTTCTGCTCAAACAGGGAAGTTCCTCTCCAGAGCATCAGCAACGTGTTCTGGGCAGCTACTTGGGAAGGATGCTGGGCCCTGATAAGCGCTTGCCACAAATGAACCATGAGACCTCGCTGAGCTCGTCAAGGAGTATCAACTATCAGCACGCAAACTCCGGTCACCCTCGCAGCAGTGGCTTTTTGGCGAGCCATCGAACAAACACGGTCACGGCATCGCTTCTGCGGCCGTCTGGAATGCTCTTCTAATATTAGGAAGCCACTGGAGCTATGCATTTTGAAATCATCATCATCTGAATTAACAAACTAATTTGTTTAGGATTGCTTCTTGTGTCTAGTTTGTTGTCCTTCCCCCGCACGTACAATTAGCACGGTTGGCTACATACACCATGCGTACAACATACAAACACGATACGTATAACATACATACATCATACATACAATGTATAACATACATACAACATACACAATACGTATAACATACAGAGCTGACCAGCCCACACCTGCACCACTGTTTGTGTGTGAATGAGTGGCGTCCGGCAGGCGAGCAGTGGTGCAGTGGTTAGCGCACTCCATACAAACCCGGTGATCCGATTTAGATTCCCGCTCATGGCTAATATGAGAAATATCTGAAATGGTCTTGGGCCTACCCTAGATCGACTCAGCCTTAGTTGAGTACCTGGTGCTGTGTCCAAATATCAACGCTGGGGAGACAAAGGCGGCCGTGCGTTGTGTTGGTCACCCACCATCTCGTGTGCCTTGCCAGCCTTCATAAGTCCTCACTAATAGCACTTTCCCCAGCAGTCTTTTAGAAGCTACACGGGGATATTTGTCTTTGTGTGTGTAATCATCAGCACCGGTCAAACAAAGGCGGCTGGGTGTGGCGCTAACCTCAATCACCCGCACGTGGCGCTCTCTTGCCAACCGCACTTGCCCCAGCAGTGTGTTCGAGGCTATATGGGGGATCTTTGCCTTTTGTGTGGTTCCCGTAGGGAGGCGGATGAGTGGGAGGAGACGGAGGCGCTGCCGCTGCTGCTGCTGCTGCTCGAGTGGCGGAGCCGTGGGGCCAGACGGCGGAGACGCGGCGGCGGCGCAGCACGGCACCGGTAAAGACCTCGCGCTCGCTCTCTCTCCCTGGGCTCTCCATCTCTACACGATCTCTCTCTGGGATTTCCATCTCTACACGATCTCTCTCTGTAACTCTCTCTCTCTCTGGGCTCTCTCTCTCTGGGATCTTCATCTCTGGGATCTACATCTCTCGGCTCTCTCTCTGGGCTCTCTCTCTGGGCTCTCTCTCTCTCTCTCTGGGCTGTCCATCTCTGGGCTCTCCATCTCTGCCCTCTCTCTCTCTGGGATCTCTCTCTCTGGGCTCTCTCTCTCTGGGCTCTCTCTCTCTGGGCTCTCTCTCTCTCTCGCTGCACTCTCTCTGTGCGGTCTCTCTCTGCGCTCTCTGTCTCTGCTCGCACCTCTACATTCACAGGGATGACGAGGGGTCTCCGCGCACCACCACCGTGTCGCCTTCGCCGCAGGTTGCTCGGGCAACGTGCTAATGCACGTGCGTTGTGCAACGCGCCCGTGTGCACGCAGCGCTCGCACGTTCACGCACACTCTCGCGCATGAGATGTAGACACGTAGTTCTACCTTGCCACACATGGGAGCACAGTGATGTAAATAGACATGCTGTCACACGCACGTGTACGCTGACATTCGTATAGACAAACACTCACACGGGCATATACAACATAGGCAAAGGTCCCCCGTGTAGCCTTTAACAGGCTGTTGGGGCAGGTGTTGTTAGCGAGGCCTATTAAGGCCGGCACGGAGCACAAAGTGGCGGTGTTGCCTGCGCCACGCCTAGCCACCTTTGTCTCTCCACTGGCTAACACATTGCACCATTTACGCATTCGAGGCCAAGTCGACTTAGGGGAGGCACAGGACTGGTTCGGATAATTGTTACTGGTGTTGGCCATGATAGCTTACTGCTACACGACCTCTCCCCAATCTCTCACGAACACACACACTCGTATGAATGCACAGGTACACACACATTCACATCGTCCATCAACACACATTGGTATATACGCACACATACACTCATTCCACCTGTCGAATGGCAGGAGGCGACAGGCATTTAAATAGGAGTTGCATTCACTTCCTGGGCATCTTAGTTTGCTCAGAGATACTGAGATAAACTCTAGGTGTGTGTGTGCGCATGTACCGCGTGTGTGTGCGCGTGTACATGCGTGTGTGTGCGCGTGTACCGCGTGTGTGTGCGCGTGTACACGCGCGTGTGTGCGCGTGTACCGCGTGTGTGTGCGCGTGTACACGCGCGTGTGTGCGCGTGTACCGCGTGTGTGTGCGCGTGTACCGCGTGTGTGTGCGCGTGTACACGCGCGTGTGTGCGCGTGTACCGCGTGTGTGTGCGCGTGTGTGTGCGCGTGTACCGCGTGTGTGTGCGCGTGTACACGCGTGTGTGTGCGCGTGTACCGCGTGTGCGTGTGTATTCATGCGCGTGCGTGCAAGCCACTGCTGCCAGGGAAAGGTTGCGGATGGCAAAGCAAATGATCGTAACTGGAAGCCGGCGATTGGCACATTGCGTTGTTGATATTCTAAACGGGAGCGTCTCGTAACTTTATATACATGTAATCTGTTGAGCGCCGGGTTTTCACGTTCAAACGTATGTGAGGCGCAGCGCTGTTCTCCCCTTGCGCACGATGGCAGCGATGGTGGCATCAGCGAGAGCAGCAGCAGCAGTGGCAGTGCTGTGGTCCAGGAGCTCCGTGCCTGTTTGTGGCTGCTGCTGCTGCTGCCACGACGGGAGACGGACGGCTTCAGCAGATAGTCCCTCCGCCTTCTCCTGTGTTGAAGGAGCTCAGGCCACGTGGTTTACTGTACCGTCCGTTGTCGTTGTGTAGTCAGCGATATTCATAATGATTTAACACGTAAGCTTTCGAGACCAATATTGTTCATAATGAAGGCTTTTGGGTTAGATCACGTAAGTATAAATGTGTCGTAACCCGCCACCAGCCGACACAGCCAGTTAGGTTCATCACTTAAACAAAACGTGCCAATTAGTTACTACTTCAAAATTTACATTTTAAAATGTTGTGGATTTACTCTCCAAACACCGGTGGGCTGAAGTAGTAACGAATTGGCGCGTTTTGTTTACGTGATGAACCTTTACTGGCTGTGTTGGGTGGTGGCGGGTTACGACACATTTCTAACCCAAAAACCTTTATTATGATTAATAATGATTACATGACGTAGGTATACCTACGTGACTTTACCGAAAGAACCAAAGAGTATGGATTCCTGCAGTCACGAAAGCTTCAAATCAAGATTAATAATAATTGTCTGTTATACCCGACGTGGTTTGCATCTTTGTTTTGATCTTATTTTTGGTTTCCCTTTCAAACTTATAATTTGCATTGCCAGTCCTGGGCCTCCCCTGGGTCGACTTGGCCTTGAACGAGTGTGTCACCATCACTACTCGGGGAGACAAAGGTGGCAGGGCGTGGTGTTAGCCACCCACTCCCTCGTGTGCCGTGCCGGCCTTCAAAGGTGCTACTCGCTAACAACACTTGCCCCAACAGTCTGTTAAGGCTACACGGGGGATCTTTGTCTTTGTGTCTGTCTTGGTTTGATACAACGTACGATACCATGATACAGCGTACGATACCATGATACAGCGTACGATACCATGATACAGCGTACGATACCATGATACAACATACGATACCAGGTTGTGAAGCGTGCTCGTTTTCCTCTGTCACAACTGGAAGCAATTTGAGACAACTTTAGTTGTTGGTTCAATTAATTGCTTCTCACGTAACGGACGGCGCGTCTGCTCTGAGCACTGTAGGTCGTGACGCCGCGATGGCTATAAGCCTCTGAGAGCAGCCGTGCTCGGTGACAAAGACAAAGATCCCCCGTATAGCCTTCATGGACTGTTGGGGCAAGTGCTGTTAGCGAGCACGTATGAAGGCCGTAACGGCACACGAGGGGGTGGGTGGCCAGCACCACGCCCGGCCACTTTTGTCTCCCCAGTGGCGATGTTTACACATCGCACCAGGTACTCATTTGAGGCTGAGTCGACCTAGGGGAGGCCCACGACCAGTCTAGATATTCTTCACTGGTGTTGGCCGTGAGCGGGAATTGAACTCGGGTCACCGGACTCACAGGGCAGCGCGCTAATCGCGACGCTACTGCTCCCCACGTTGATGCAGCAATGGCTAGGAGCCTCTGAGAGGAGGCGTGCTCGGTGAACTGCAGCTGAAGACCTCATGAGCGGTCCGTGTGGCTTACTGGAAGGAGCGCGTGGAAACAAAACGACACGTCCACAACGCGGTTGCAATGCGATAGGAACCGTCTATATCTGTTGGCAATTGTCAGATGGCGAAAATTGATATTTATTTGCGCCGTATAATAGTATATTGCGTCCGCATTAGAAACCACATTGACTGAGCAAGCATTGGTGGTTTTTAGGAATTGGTGTTAGCAAAAAAAAAGCTGATCCTCTGTATTTTGGCCAAAACGTCTGCGTCATGCAAACGTGCACGGTCACGGCAATGGGCAGCAGCAGCAGAAGTGTGGTATCAGTCATCGAGACTTATCCGGGCGAATTAACGTTCTGTTGTGTCTCGCTTGGATATCTTGTCGGTTTTACAACTCAAGAGAGATTCGTCATCTCCCCGGCTCGCCCCGAACTCCCGCTTCTGGTCACGGCCGCGCAGTGACTGACGCGGTGAAGTACGGACAGACGGTCGACGCTGCGTGGTGAAGCCTTCGTCCAGCAGCGGATTGACGTGCGACCCCTGCGTAAGCGACCCCTGCGTAAGCGGCGTCTGCGTAAGCGGCGTCGGCGACGTTCTCCGAGCTTCGTGCGCGACGGCGTTGGCCGACGTAACGGGATCGAGGCCGTGAGAAGCGTCGCCTCGGGTGCACGTGACGGCCGAGTCTGACCAGCGAGGCCGTGCCGCGGATGGTACCCAGCATACGCTCGCGCCGTAATCTCTGCTGTTCCTCGGTCTCGGTCCTTTCACAGTGAACGCACGCTCTGAACGCGCTCTGAACGTTGAGAGCGTGTGTTGAGAGCGTGCGTTCAGAGCGCTCTCAACACGCGTTCAGAGCGCTCTGAACGCGCGTTCAGAGCGCGTTCAGAGCGCTCTCAACACGCGTTCAGAGCGCTCTCAACACGCGTTCAGAGCGCTCTCAACGCGCGTTCAGAGCGTGTGTTCAGAGCGCTGCTAACGCGCGTTCAGAGCGCGTGTTAGCAGCGCGCTCTGAACGCGCGTTGAGAGCGCTAGAATCGCGTGCTCGAATCGCGCGCTACGGACGCACGTGCTCCATTCACTCCAGCCTGGTCCAGCAGCTCACACAGAGCACTACGAGATGCACAATGGAGTAACGTGATGTACATCATGCTCGGAACATTGAAACCATAACCAGTTCCTTGGATCCCTGTTCTGGCAAACATTTTGCCACTAAGTATCTGCAGGGTCATGCAAACTACAAGGGAGTTACACGTTTTTTTGCCAACAATAACCACCGACCAATCAACCAAGACCTCCTGGGATCACGCTGCTGTCACCATCCTAGAATCTCACACAGATCCAGAAGAATGCTGCTCGCGATCACAGTGGAACAACGCAGATGCCCGGAATAAACTAATTCCAGACCAAAACATCGCCCCTCCTCGCTTTGACATCCCTCGGAGACCCTGGTGTATCCACCGAACCGCATCACAACATTGACGTGCCCATGCGCCCGTCTCATTAAAGACAAGCCACGTTAGTGCAACAGTAGAATTGCAACCCAAACTATGGACCAAGATAGTAAACCACTGCGGTCCGCGCTCTTTCAACAGAGGAGGAACAGCAAAGCCTCACCAACTCTTTCCTGCAGACTCCGACAATTAGCATGCAGCTCCTTGACATTGTTGTTGCTGCTGCCACTATGCACAACAATGCAGTGCACTTACGCAGCAGCCCGTTTTGTAATCCACTGCTGGCTGAGGCCCACCCCAGAGCCTGCGAGAGCCGTTTGGTCTTTAGGCCGTAGCACGCTGGGTGTGGACTGGCAGAGCGGTGGGCCCTGGGACCGGCTC